GTGTGTGTGTGTGTGTGTGTGTGTGTGTGTGTGTGTGTGTGTGTGTGTGTGCGTGTGTGTGTGTGTGTGTGTTTAAGACAGCTCTTTGCTTTACAACAATTATCCTTTTCTTTCTCTGATGTCTGAGTGTTTCCTCTCCCTCCCTGCAGCTGCAGACTCATTTTCAGCACCCACACCCTTCCCCTCTTATTGCACATTTTAACTAAGTGCATGCAAAGTCGTGCCAAGTTTTATTGGCATAACTAGAAGTAAAACTGTTGACTTAAAGTAATAAACTACAGGCGATACAATTATAGCACCCATAGGTCAGAGTGGGAATGACAGTAGAGCTGTACTGCTTGAATGATTCTAGCCTTTTATTCTTAAATGGTCCTGACTGGCAAATGCATCAAAAAAAAAATCCCTTGTGAGAGGACGTGGGAAAAATATGTCTCTAATCAAAATGCGAGAACACTGCTTTCTGTTTTCTTCCCTTTTGACTCCTGCCTTCTTATCTGTCTCTGTAATCTAGCCTTGTTGTCTTTCACTCAATTATTTTCCAATCATCACTCAGCTATTGTCTGGTTTGTTTACAGCACCAGAGTTCTGCAGCTGGATGGGAGTGTTTGCTGTTTGCATACATGATCTGCAGCCTAATGTCCATCTGCTGTGATTCTACCTTGACTTGTAGCTTGGCCTGAGCGATTGGACTCTTCCATGATGAGACAAACACCAAGCTATCCATCGAACAGCCCATAGACCTAGAACAAAGACAAGGGAGGAAAAAGATCTTATTACCTTTAGCATCCCGCCCGGTTTGGTTCACATGAACTTGCACACTTTCTTTGTTACCTGGCAGTTTCCTGTCGCAAAGCATTAAGGAAGGTATCTGGGTGGAAGAGCTCTGATAAATCAAGGATGTCGGAAAGAAGAGCTTCTCTTCCTGCACGTTCCACCCAACTCTGTGCACACAATCATGCAAAGTGACTACTTAATAGCATGGGATCTATTTAAAAAGTCTTCTCAGCTTTAAATCATTGGATCAACAAACTAATAACTTTGTAACTCTAACTAACTGCTAATAAACACACAATATAAACAGATCCACAGTCATACAGAGTCCTAATAAAGCAGGTTTGTACATGTGCAAAAACCCAAAGGATGAGATTTGATCAAAAACATAAAAGGAGAATAAACAGTAGGTAAATGTACTAAACTGTGCTGTGTGTATGTGTGTGTGTGTGTGTGTGTGTGTGTGTGTGTGTGTGTGTGTGTGTGTGTGTGTGTGTGTGTGTGTGTGTGTGTGTGTGTGTGTGTGTGTGTGTGTGTGTGTGTGTGTGTGTGTGTGCATCTGTTTGGCTGGAGATAGACCCCTGTGAGCCTACTGCATTATGATGAACTGGGTCATCAGATTTGACATCTGCTTTGATTAGATAAGCAGCTTCCTTCTGTGTCACTGCAGAAACCATGTATTTTGGTTAACAGCATGCATATCCCACAGTACAAGCTTGGTTTGTGGGCTCCCCTCTATGTTTTCCAGCAATGCCGCAGAATAGCAGAAATCTTTTTCACTTTACTTTTTTTTTTTTTTTTTACAGCCAAGCATCTTTCGATTTAGGCCTGTGGTGGCTGTGGTTGAAAGATCTGAGCCATGACAATCAGCCCAGCATTGAGGTCTCGATCTTTTCTGGGCCGCATTTTGCATCTCTTAGTTTTCTTTCTTTCTATTTATTTATTTAATAACTGCTAATCAGCTCTCTAAATCACCACTGAATTTATGTGATTTGAAGCTCCGTTGAAAGAAAGTGCTGACAAAGGCAGAGCAGGCAAACATCAGATCTAATCTTTATTATAAATGGATTCTTTGTCTTAGCATCCCATTGACTTTAGTGACAACTTAAGCATGAGTAATATATAAGCAATATATGAGCAATATATATATTCAAGCTCATTTTCTGATTTGCACAAGTTTGCAAACTTGTGCAGAGTTGCATGAAAAAGGCTTTTGGATGATTGTAACAGAGCAACAATGCACAGGTAGAAATATGAGATTTATATTATTGTCAATGTCGCGGGAAGATGGTCAGAAACACGGTATTCCACAACAGTCAAGTATTGCCTTATGCATTTAGGTTGGGTTTTGTGCAGCTGGCTCTTCATTCTTCAGCAGCAGCTCTGGAAGGCTCCACCTTCATTAGAATGATTAGCTAACAGAATCCAGACAGGCTGCTAACGCAGTTATCACTCAGCACTGATGAGCACGAGGAGACAGTGAAGGACACGGCAGCCTCTAGACAGACATACATGATGATCGATAGAGTACAGGTAGACAGGGAGACTAGAAGAAAGGGGCCAAAAAAAGAAGCGAGACGTGTCAGGCAGACACATGCAAACAGATGGGCAGGCAGGACAGCCGACAGAGAGACCGAGGCACTACAGTTTGCACTCACACTTCCACTCGAATAATGGAAACGCATCCACACAGAAATGAATTATTTCTGAAAGTCTGAGCGTATGTGCGAGTTCTAGTCTGCCAGAACATATTGAGGTAGGCGTGCAGTCAGACACAGTTGAGAGGAGATAGAGAGGAGTTTCCGCCAAAACTCCTTTTTTCTGGCACCAACCGAGGAATTATACTTCCACGAAGCTTCTGTATTCATTTCACATAAAAAAAACAAAACAAAAGATTTGTTCTAACGTTGTTTTAATGACAGTGATGTCTGATCTCTTTATAAGTTAGGACTTTGCTCAACTGAAGAACTCTTGTAATCACAATTTCAAGTCATATTCATGTAGTTTTCTCCATGAAGACATTAATGTTATTTTCATTTTTTGTGTGCTTTTTCAGTAATATTTTCATGTGTAGATCTGTGCATGATGGTTCCATCCATCCATCCATCCATCCATCCATCCATCCATCCATCCATCCATC